CAACTCCTAAATCAAATTTTCCTGATTATAACCCCAGGTGTTGATCAGAACTTGGCTGCAACACCATTTTAGGGATGAAAGCCCATAGACAAACCTCTTAGGGCTCCTTCCTTGACTCATTTGGCTGGGAGCTTTAGGTTTCTGTTTACAATAAATATTGCTTTCTACTTTCACCCTACAATAAACCCTTTTACTCGGTCTTCTTTTGACTCCCTTACCTTATAATTCTTTCTGGGCTGAGAAAAGAACCAGCCAGGTAGATGGTTATAAATACTATATGATTTACGTGCAGTTGATTTTTTTCTTAGTTTTGAATCCTATAGTATTCTATAGTAATAGTGTTCTATTCCTATTCTCTTCCTATAAATCACGGCAGTTTAATGTGTGACATGTATTCAGCTATCCACCATCTCTAATTCTTCTTTTCACTGATCATGATTCTTGCCCTTCTTTCCAGCCAGGTGCTGGTCTGTTGTCAGAATTGTTCTCAAGCCCATTTTGTAGGCAGCCACCATCACTTGATCAAAGTTAGCACTTGCCTGGAAACCAATTTCCTGACCCTGCAGTCACTCTTAGAGTTCATGGATATTTGTTTATAATTGGAATCAAAATATCATCTTCTAGATTGTCACTAAGACTTTAAAGAGTTACAAAATTCCGTGTGAGATAATACGCAATAATTTCTGTTTGAAGTATATGTTAGTTAACACTTAGCCAGGTAAAGACAACTCATTTTAGATAACTTAGTAGGGAAAGTTTAAATGCCAATTTCAAAGGATCTGGATGGTGAAAAAGGCATACAGGGACTGATACAAGACCCTAAGGATCAGAGATCTAGAAGCAGTGCCTGCTTTTGAGGGAACAAGGGACACATGTAAGAACCAGAAATCACGAAGAAGAAGCTAGAGACACTGTCTGTCTTCTTCTTGTCGTGCAATCTTCCATGAGTGTCTTAAACAGCCCAGTTAGTCTGTTGGAAAGAGCCTGGGAGGTGAAATTTACAAGTGTCTGCTTTATGTCGTGCAGACAGAACAAAGAAGGTCTAGAATGTCAGGGAATGGATCTGAGGATTAAGTACATGCCTTACTATATTATGTTTGTTGGTAATTAGGCAGGCAAGGTATGTATGCCTAATCTTGTTTTCATCCACAGGCACTTAAGTCCAGGGATACCACAAGAGTATGGTTTGAGGTAGTTTCCTTTCCAAGCGGATAGGTTAGAGAACACTCTGACTCACTGGAAAACAGTAGCCTCCGGGTCACTTGACATTTGGATCAGTGGGAACAAAGGAAGTTGCTCCTAGTTATTAGGCACAGAATTTGGATGAGGGTCTCCTGCTGGGGAAGGTAGTAAGGAATCAATTACACTAATTTGTACCCTATGTGAGCAGGCATATCGTAGACTCTAACAAAGACCAGTTTTGGTGAAGGAACAAAATGTCAAAACCTGTCCATCTCCGAGGAAATCAATCTAATTGCAGCATACATTGCAAAATCCTGAAACAAAGAGTTTTATTTTTTTCTCACTCTGACTAGGATAAACATGAACAAAATCCTTGATCCTCATGTGTATCAAGAGAAGTGGATAATTCATTCTATATAGTTAGGTTTCCTTTGAAATCAAGCAGCTAACTGGTTGATTCACTATGATATACAATTAGAGCCAATGGGATGAAGAGCATTGGGAAATGAGGTTACTGAATTCAAGGAGGGGCTGCATGCACCAAGCTATGTCTTCCTGCAGGCCTTTCTTGCTCAAAGTTTTATCCAAGTGTTAGAGAGAGACATGAAGAAAACACAAAACAAGCAAACAAGAGCCATTAAGGCACCACATAGAGCAAATTCAGTCAGGGCTAGACTCACAGCCCTGAGGCTCTGCACTACTGTCATATAATGGACAAAACCTTAAGCCCAGAACAAGCCCAGTAAACAAGAGGTGGCAATATGCTCAGATTGTGAGAACTGTCCATGTGTGTTAGTCACACTTTGGTCCCTGGGACAAAATCCTGAAGACCACAACTTAAAGGAGGAAACATTTATTTTCCCTCCTGGTTTTAGCCCAACATCACCTGGCCCCAAGGCAGAGATGTCATGGCAGTCAGGAGGCAGAGAAAGACAGAGAGAGAGAGAGACTGACAGAGAGAGACACAGAGAGACAGAAAGAGACAGAGAGACACACAGAGAGACAGAGATAGAAACACAGAGAGAGACAGAGAGAAACAGAGGCAGAGAGAGAGACAGAGAGAGAGACAGAGATAGAAACACAGAGAGAGACAGAGAGAAACAGAGGCAGAGAGAGAGACAGAGAGAGAGACAGAGATAGAAACACAGAGAGAGACAGAGAGAGAAACAGAGGCAGAGAGAGAGATAGAGAGAGACAAAGATAGAGAGAGACAGAGACAGAGACAGAGACAGAGAGACAGAGAAAGGAGAGGATGGGGATAAGAACACCTTCTCGCAGTCACGCTCCCAAGGACCTGCTGCCAACAGGTCCCGCCTACTAAGTACATTCCGCTATGATCTCAGCAATGCCTGAAACACTGATGAGCATAGAGCCCTCAAGATCCAGTCACCTTCAATGATTACCTTTTCATAATGGCAGCGGTGGATTCGCATCAGGCCACCGATATCCTCTCTTCTCGCTTAACGAAGGGTAACTAAGCACAGCTTTATAAAAAAAACCTCACGGGAATGAAGATTTCTTTCTAGGCAACTAAGAAGCTAGGTGGGAGCATGGTGACATCTAGAGTGAAAGTAAAGCTGGTCCAAGGTGTCCTGCAAGCTGTAAAATGCAGTTTAATCAGAGTGGCATTTTTATTTTGTTCAAATGATTTTAATTATTGGAATACATAATTTTTTTACAATGTGCAAATAAAAAATTTTAAAACATGAAGAAAATGAACTTGTTAATGATGGGGGCAGTATAGTGCAAAGATTAGAGTCAGAAAAGCCTGTGGGGCCAGGGAGGAGATAGCTCAGCCATCCAAGCACCTGCCTGGCAAACACAAGGACCCAAGATTGATCCCTGGTACCACATCCCGTGCCAGTCCTGGAACTGGAGGTGGGGCACACATCTGTAATCCTAGTGCTGGTGAGGATTACTACATGTCCAAGCTGCATAGTGAGACCTTATTCATTTTAAATAAATAAATACATATATACATAAAATATTTTTAAGGACAAGAAAAGAAAAGCCTTTGGTCAAAATTTCTGCATTTCCCAGTATCTCTGAACTCAGGTAAATAATTCAAAGGCTGTGAAATACTGTGTGCTCTGGCTTAAGAGCTCTCATTTCAGAACTGCAAAGAAGTTTAAGGAATATCATAACTTTAAAGTGCTCACCACAGTGCCTTGGCATGTATTATCCAAAGAATATGCACATTTGTGTCTATGAAGTTCCAAATGCAAAAGGAAAGAAAATAAAGTAATTGGCAAGAACTCTTCCCTTCCACTGTTTCTTCCTTTTCCTCAGTTGGTTTCTTCTATCTCTTCATTTCTCTAACTCTGGAATGATGTTCCTTCTCTTCCAAGGTTTCAAGTTTACCCTCTCATAAGTGTTCAGATGCAGTATTCTACCCTTTCTTTTTACTCTCCTCTAATGGATCAAAACCTTGCCTAATTAGTGAGAGAGACATTCTGCACCTCTTGCTTCTTGTCATGGTGAATTCATGCTCAGGGAAGACAGATGCTCCATCACTGGTTGCATGCAGTAGACTCTGTTGGCCTTAATCAGATTTTACTTAGCAGATTCCATTGATGATTTGAAAATAATCATTTTATTTTACTGAATAATTCTGTGGCTCAAGAATTCAGGAGAGGCTTGGCAAAGCAATTATTTTCTTCCTCAGGATATTGATAGAAGCTACTTGGGTGTTATGCCATTGGTAGAGGGATCAGTATTGAGGGCTGAAGTACTTTTATTTGTATTACTTGTGCTTGATAAGGTTGCCCCCCCCTTAAGCCTGAGTGTTTAGAGGTGGCCTGTCCATTCTCAAGGGCTCAGCTTTGCGGGCTCAGAATTCTTGTGATGGCTCTGAGCTCCCAAAAAAAGAATTTTCAAGGAAGCAGAGGCTGCAAAGCCTTTTGTGACTCTGGCTTAGAAGTCATGTAATATCATTTCCATCATCATCTGTGGGTCATAAACCTGCCCATATTTAAGGGTCTAGGCAGTAGAATGCAGTTGTAGAGGGAGAGGTATTTAAGAATGGTCTGCCTTAAACCTGTCACAGCCTTCATCCTCTTTGATCATTTCTGCTTGAGCAAGGACTAGGAATTTGATCATTTTTCAGAGGGGCACATTAAGTCCATGGATTTAACATCTTATTATTGAAGAACTGAAAAGGAATCACACATTTTGGTAGCAACCAAGATAGCATCTAATGTTACACTGAACAGAGGAAGAAGGAGATGAAATGTCATGGCCTACCACCTTGGGGCATTTCATAATACTCAGCTTATAGCCAAAGAGTCTACAGAATGCAAGATAAGAATAAGTCTGGGAGGGCCTGATGCAGTGTTCACCTTAGAAATCCAAAGTTTAAATTCTAGCAACTTCATAGCATCCTGTATGTCTTTGTCTTCATTGGCCTTGCTCTTACAATGAGATGATCCATGTGTTTCCCTATCCATAAAACACTGTGCTCTGATAGAAATTAGGCTTGTATTCACCACGTCATACATAGTGTCTGGAATATGACAGATATGTAATAAGTACATTTTATTGGAGAATGTTGTGGAGAAAATATGAGACCTACCACCACATCACAATAAGTTTATGACCAACTATAAAAAATTGACCCTTTTTATAGGATAATTTCTATATCTATATATTCTGGATACACAGCATAACATTTAAAATCTTCACAATTCCCCAGCAAGTCCAGCCAGATCACTCAGATTATAAAAAATGTAAGATAACATGAATGCACTCAACATTTACTAAGAGCTTTGTTTATTATTTAGTTGATTACATCATTTTTATAATCATACAATAATTCTCTCTTAAACAACACTGTTATACTTGAAGATGGTCACATTATATTCCTCCTTCCTTCTACAGTGGTAAAGTGTTTCTTTTCACACTTAGTCTTCAACAGAACATCTGAATATCAAGAAGTTCAGTCAACTAAAAGTAATGAACAGATCCAAATCCATGGAACATGATTGCACACTCATTAAAGGTCTATTACAGTGGTTCAGGTACATTCAAGAGGAAAGAGCAGAGGTCTCAAAAGGACACTAGAGCACAGCATGTGTTGGTGAATGGAAGTGATTCCCTTAAGACCTGTTTGGCAGTTTTAAAACTTGAGGTTTAATACTGGTTTAATGCCATCACCCTTTCTAACAGGATGTCTTCCTCTAGGTAAGAACTGAGCAATGTTGGCAGAGTGTTATGAAAGTGTCCTCCAAGGGGGAAAACAAATCTTCCAGGCAGTTGTACAACCATCCTTAGACTAGCCCTACCCCATTCATGCTGGTCTTCTTCACTTGAGCATGGCTGGACCCAGCAATAAGATGACCTCAGGTAGTGAGGAGAACACCAAGGGATGTAGAAGAAAGAAGAAGGAGGAAGCATAGAGAAGCCAGCCAGAAAAGAGGAAGGTCCCACAGAAAGCAGAGGAAAGCACAAAGGTGAAGTGGACCAAGGAGCAAGAAGGACTCAGAAGCATCTGGAACAATGCGAGAGTGGGATAGTGTGCTAAAATAAAAACAAAGCTGAGGTAACAGAGGGGTGGCCCTTATCACACTCCATGCCCCCTCCCTGGCCTATCAGCTCCTATCTCTCCACAGCTGGGGCAAGAAGGCAGTGGCGTCTCACCATCCTCCCACTCAAAGTCAAGATGTGGTTTTGGGCATAGACTTGGCTAAAAATGGCAGAATGGTAGCAGCAAGGAGGTGATGCTCCAGGCCTGCTCCACTGGCCTACCACACCCTCTCCCCTAGGAGGATGAAAATCTGGCCCCATGAGGCATGTAAGCCGAGGCCCCTGCGCTGATTGCAAGTAGGATTGCCTAGTTTTGCTGGCCTCCAGTGAAGATGGAGGGGACTCTCTGGGCAGGTATAATAGAAAGAAACAAAATCAATCTTTCAGTCTTTTTCTGGAAAGCAGCAGAGAGGGCAAGAGAGCAGCAACATGGCTTTCAGCCACATGCCAGGCTTCATCCTCAGTCTGTGGTGGATAAGGCCACACGGTGCGGAGCTGCTGGTACCAAGGGCACCCTTGTTCCAGGTCTAAAGGTGCAGCTTGGATCCTCCTGCCTCTACTACACCAGGCATTGGGGCATCTAGGCTCAGGTAGTGGGGAAGAGCAAAGCTGTTGGGGCGGGGCCTTTGTGGAGCCCAGAGCTGTGCTAGCCACACACTGAAGCTGTGCTGAGAACAGTGCAGAGGATCGCAGGTTGGCCCTGGAGTCCAGCAGGCTAAGCTCCTGCTGTAGCTGGAAGAGACAGAACAGAAAGGATCTGGGGAAGCTGAGTGCTCCCCCGGCCCAATTTCCTTATGACTGAAATGTGGACAAGAGTAGCACTTTGCTCAGGGAATTGTGAGAAGTCAGCAATACTGTGTTTGAAGTGCTTCCAGCAGTGCCTGACACCCAGAAAACACTCAACAAATGTTATCTGCCACTATTCTGCTCAGAAAGCATCAATAAGGCCCAGTGACTGCCTTCTAGGTTCTGCACTTCTTCCCTAACCTTTGTTATACGTTTCCACGGGGGGAGTCCGGGTCAAAGCCAGGGTGGTTGATAGCAATTTGGGGACAGCTAAGGCCATCACTGGGTGACATGGCCCTGGAAGGCTGTGACTGCCTGGGAAGTGGGTCACCAGACAATGCCCGGGCAGTAGGCACAGTGGTGCCCTTGTCTTTCAGTGCAGTCAGTGAGTGCTTTGTTTCCACAGAGCCCTGCTACTCTTAGCAATCAGATGGGTGGTAACAGAGGGGTGACAATCACAGACTCCTCCTGCTTGGGATCATTAGAAAAATAACTGGCCAAAATAGGGATACAACAAGCAATTTGGCAAGTGGTGGAATGGGTAGAACTGTGTATTTTGTTGTTTGCTTTTTTGTTTGTTTGTTTGAGATGGATGATAGTTGTAGTTCTCAGAATCACTAACATGATACATGGACTTCTGGCCCAGACCAAACATCAGGCAAACCTTATTTATTTATGGTAAGAGGCACAGGGGTTACAAAAAAAAATTCAGGACCTTGGATGTTCAAAGGAGGCATGTGGGTTTTTTTAAAAACAATAAATTTATTTCCCAGAATGTGGGCTGCTAACTAGTTTCCCAGGCAAACTTCTCTAAAGGTAGATTTGAGTGGTGGCAGCTTGTTGCCCCTCAAAGTTCTTTCTGGTCAGAAGAGAGGGCAGAGATCTGCTGGGGGGGATTTAGTTCTGGTCCTTCTTGAATATGGGGGAGGACCTAAAACCCCAGGAGGCCTGATGGGCCTGTAACGGAAGCTAGGTTTACCTTTGAGGTGTGGAGCTAGGCAGAGGAAGGCCTAGGAAAAACCCAGAGGCTCTGACAGGTGCCCGTCCCCCAATTTTCTCAGTGTCTTTCCCTGGAGCAGGGCTTAAGGTCTCAGAGTGAGATGTCTCCTAAGGAGTACCTGAAGTTGGGACATGAGGAAGGTCTAGCTTTCTGGCTTCACTTGTGCCCAGGTGCAAAGAACCCAGAAATGCAGTGAGCACAGGTACCTCAACTTGATAGACCCTTCATGGAATGCACGATACTCTTGAGCATTTTGATGACCCTCTTGGGGCAAGAAAGTGAATGAAACAAATCAACACCAAAACAAATCCCAAAGTAATCCTGTAAGGAACAATGGTGCTGCATGAAGCTGCTGGATGGCAGGCGGACCAATCATGCAGATGAAGAACGTCAAACGGAAGAAGTTCCGCAGGGAGCGGGAGTCACTGTCCCTGCTGTTGATGTAGCCTCTGGAGCTTTTCACGGTGCATTAAAAAATGTTAAAAATCAACAAACCAACTTCTGTCTCCTGCTTTATTGGGGCAGCCCCTTTCTGGCCTCTTGGTGCTAGACGTCTTTGCTGTCGCCATAGTCGTTGTAGGGGATGCTTAGGCTCTGCTCCTCACACGTCTTCCTGAGGTCCCGGCTGAGCTCTGACCAGTCCAGCCCATAGGGCTTGATCTCGCTGTAGCGGCAGCCCAAGTACTTGACAGCACTGCGACGCAAGCTTATCTTGGGTTCCTGGAGGAGTCCATCGCACCAACTGCTGAGCTCTCCAAGCTGTGAAAGGATGAGGCCAGCTTTCCTAGGACCATACATAAAGAATACTTCCATTAGAAAGAAGGGAAAGCCAGGAAGGACAAATAGCCACCATGAGGGCGAGACTTAAAACTTGGAGAACCTCATTGTTTGGTCGATCTTTCTAACTCTGACTCTCCAAACAGCAGAGCTCCATAAATATCTGCCCAGTAAATGAATGAGTGAGTGAGTAAATTAATGAGTGGGATGGTTGTGCAAAGTGGGACAGGTACCCACAAGAAACAGAGAAAAAAAATACAATAATGACAAATACTGGGCCAGGGAGATGGTTCAGTAGAAGTGTTTCCCTGGCAAGTGCAAGGGCCTGAGTTCAGTCCCCAGATACACACACACACACACAAACAAAAAAAAAAAAAAAAAAAATTAGGGTCAGCCAAATAGCTCAGCAGATTAAGGTGCCTGCAAGCAGGCACAGGGTCTACGGGTTCAATCCCCAGGCCTGCTGTGCAGGCCCCACCCCTGGGGTGCTCTGAGATGACAGTTGAGACTGGGTATGGTGGTGCATGCCTATAATCCCAGCTCTTGGGAGGCTGTAAACAGGCAGATCACTATGAGTCTGACCTAGTAAGTGAGACCTTGAGCACCCTGTAGACTCTTCCCTAAAAAATACCAAAGAGAGAGAGAGAGAGAGAGAGAGAGAGAGAGAGAGAGAGAGAGAGAAATACATAGCTAATATTTTCATAGGAATATAAACCTTTTATAATCACAGAATAGAATCAATGGTTATGAAAGACAAAGCAAACCCATCTTTCTGCATTCAGAAATTTGTCAGTAGATGACCAGTAAGGTGCATGGCTGAATGCTTCCCCGCTCAAAGCTACCTTTGAGTTGGTAGAAGCAGCCAGTACTTTATACCAAAGAGGCTATCAGATGTGTCCAATTAGCCCAGTAGTGAGGTAATTATATCATAATAAGGGGAGGCCAATAGTGCCCTCAGTTCACATGGACTCGGGGCAGTTTGGGGGTGAAGCAGATGCCCAGTTGTACAGATTATTTCATTGTTTCCAGAAGGGCTCATGAACTCTCCCCTCCTCTTCCTAGGAAAGTTAAGAGGTCACTTCCATGGCCACTAAGCCCTAGTCAAAAGAGAGGGAAATGACCACAGGAGAAGATGCCGGGCACTGCATATCAGGGGGGAAGCGAGGGGGCCCCACGTTCACTTGCAGTGGGAAGGAGTGATCCTCTTGGGCCAAAAGGCCACAGTGTGGGTCTGTGGCATGCACTCTGTATCCTGTTCTTCCTGGAGCTTGCTTGTTGTGCTGGACACAAAAGCCACCTGACATCTGGTTTTCAGACCTCATTGGCTTTTTGACTCTGTGTATTTAGGGTACGTAAAGAGAAATTTCCTCATTCTGTTATTTTTTCTTTACTTTTTGAGGACCTAAGTAACCAGATACGGAGAAAAGATTTTCTTATTTGAACAATCTCACTGGAGGCTGAAAATTGCTGTTCTGCAAGCCCAAAGCAGAAAACTCTTGCAGTATTTTAGTTCACTCTTTCTTTCTTTCTTTCTTTCTTTTTTTCTTTCTTTCTTTCTTTCTTTCTTTCTTTCTTTCTTTCTTTCTTTTTCTTTTCTTTCTCTTTTTTTCCTTCCTTCCTTCCTTCCTTCCTTCCTTCCTTCCTTCCTTCCTTCCTTCCTTTTCTTTTTTTGTACTGGGACACAAACTCAGAGCTTTGTGCATTCTAAGAATGTGACCCACCACTGAGCCACACTCCCAGCCCTTGTACAAGAGTTTTAGATGTCCAGATAGGGTCTCGCTAAGTTTTCCAGGCTGGCCTCAAACTTGCCATTCTCCTCCTCACATTACCAAGTATCTCTGACCACAAGGGTGCACCACTGCATCCAGCCTCTTCTCTAGTTCTCACAATTCTTCCAGAAACTGGAAGCTTTCCATACCCATTTATAATGAACTTTCAAAGAATAAGCACTACATTCATTTCATTCTTCCTCTCTGTCTTGACAGTAAATATAACTAAGCAGTGATTTCACTGAGTTTCACAAAGGGCATGCTGAAAGGAAGGCAGAGATGGTGCTGGAGGAAAGCGGGGAGCTCCAGCAGCGAAGGCAAGAGACTCAGAGTAGTGTGAAGTCATCGAAAGGAAAGCCATGTTCTTCAGACATCAATGGTGGGTCAGAAAATCAAACAACACTCTGCCTGCCGACTAAATAGCATCTTAGTCAGATGATCTGTGTTCCCTGTCAGCTTCTGCAGTTGGCCAAGCAGGTTTTCCACAGGTCATCATCAGCCAGCACCGTGGTGCCACTTCCTCTTACGCTAGCCTACCATATGTCACTCTTCGCTGTCAAATTTTTAGGAGGTGAAGGGAAGGCAAGTGAAGGAAGTGTGAGGGAAGCACGGGCAGCCTCTTTCAGAAATGGATAAAGAAACACATCTTGGCCACCCACTCTAAAGAATGAATTTAATTAGCCCATGGAGTCTCTGTTGCAGCCTTCATTGCTTGCTTTTTGTTTTTAAAACCATAATTAGTTTGAGTCTGCTCTTGACCATCGCAGAGCCTGGGGCCTTCTTGCTCAGTGACAGTGCAAGCCATGTTGTTCTCAAAGCATTTGCAGCCTTAACTCCATCTGCAGGCCCTTGAGACTTTTAATGGAAGGGATCCTGCAGAACTGAGGGAATCCATCCTGCTCCGCTTGCTCACCAGCAGAAGTACGCATGTACCCACAGCCCTATTATTATTATTATTATTATTCAGTCTCACAACTAACCCCAAAGTAGGTTGCTATAGCTGAAGGCTGGAGACTTTCTTTTCCTGTGGTTCTCCCTTATTATTATTATTATTATTCAGTCTCACAACTAACCCCAAAGTAGGTTGCTATAGCTGAAGGCTGGAGACTTTCTTTTCCTGTGGTTCTCCCTGAGATCCATGACAGTAAAAAACCAAACTTTATTTTCCATGGGCTAATGAAGCTGCACAATGTTTTCAATACATATCTGTGAAAGGCCAGGATTACACATGAAAGAGCCCCCTGGGAGGAGAGACTACAGTCAGCAGCCGAATTTACTTTATGGGGAGATTCACATTTCTTCCCCTGCTGCTCACTTTCTTCATTAACCAATTTTCTTTCTAAGTCTTGAGTCACAAAAGAGAAATTTTAAAAAGTCTCCAAAATGCCCTTAGAAATCAAGATGAAAATGCGAGGTTAGTGCTATTCAAATTATGGCATTTATGCCCCTAACAAAGAACTATGTATGCGCACTCAATAAATGTCAGAAGAAAAGAGAAAAAAAGAGGAAAAGGGGGAACATGGATCAGAGAAAAGGGAGCAGGGGGAGGACAGAGAGCTGGAGAGGGTCCTGGTACTGGGCATGAGCAATTATATCAAAAGCAGAGGTAAGGAAGGGTGCGCAGAGGCTATTTCCCCACCCAAGTCTCCTTCCTCGCCCAAGCCTTACTTTTTACCAAACCTAACACAAAACATTAAACATCCCTTCCATATTTCTTGTTAGCCATAGCAGTGGCCTTGTTTGCCCAAAGACCACAATGCTTTACAGATATGAGGAGCCGACTTATAGACTTTAGAAAGAGCTTGACTGGCCTTAAGTGTGAAACCATTTCATTTTAGTAAGAGCTTCCTAAATTTGTTCCTTCCTTTAAGTGTAAGAAAATACAGAGGGAAATGGCCCCAAAAATGGTCTTCTAGGAAAATCTATAATGGACAGGTCATGACAGGCTCCTTAAGTCAGATGCATGGAATGGCTTTGGGGTGCTACTTTAGCTCAGCCCTGTTGACGGGAGAGCAAGAGTTTTTCTTTTCTAAGTAGAGGATTCTACAACTGATTTTCTCACTTTCCCTTAATTTCTTTTTCTCCACTACCTCTTTGCTTCTTTTCTCTCTCTTTCCCTTCCCACCTTTTTAATTTCCTTTATTTCTCGCTTTGTCTTGATCTCACGGGGTTTTTTTTCCACTTTTATTTTTCTTCACAAGTTTCTAAGTAATTTGAGGGCACCCAAATTTCCCATATGCCTTTTATATTGTCTTTATCTATAATTGTTTATATTTCTCAGAGTAGTGTGTTTTTTATAGGTAGTGATATACAGTCATGATATATACAGCAAATAAAGGTGATCACTTTACACACCCTTCTCATCTCATCTCCACAGACATCTCTCTGCACTGTGCAACCAGAGTCCAATAGGCATCGAGTGTTAACTGTGGCAGCCCCAAGCCCAGGGTAAGCACTACACCATTACAGTTTGGGCCAACAGAGAAATCAAAGACGGTCTTCAGCTAATTTCACATCGCCTTTCAAGAGATTGTGGAATTTAATAGATCTCTGTAGTGAAAATAGCATGCACGACATTCAAGTGCAATAAACTCTAGGGGACAGAACCTCTTTAATAACATTTCTGATTTCCTTTCACAGCCCTGAGTTTTAAGCATTTGGAATTCTGTGTCAACAGGATAAAGAGGGAGGAGATAGAGCAGATCAGGAGCAAAGATATTTTTAGGGTTCCTGAAATGCATTCATGACTTGACTGCTTAAAGAGGACTTATCCATAACAACTGTGCCATCTAAAAGCAGAGAACTTATTTCTCTAAGGACCCAAGCCCGCCCAGGAAATTTGTGCGGCTTCATAGAAGTAGTCACACAGTGCAAGTGATCAGAGTCTTTAAAGGAAACGACTTCATTACCTGGGGCCTAGTTCATCCTCACACCGCCAGGTGAATTCTCCAAAGCTCTCATAGTGCTGGTTGTAGTGGTACAGGACGCGATGTAAGGTGGGGGAGCCCAGATCCAGAAGGGTGTTGTAGGCCGTCTGTTGTTCCTTTCCACTGGTGTAGCCATTGAAAAGATTGTAAATTTTGTCTGCTATTTCTGAGGAGGGAAAAAAAGCCAGATATAATCACACATGGCCCAAGAGTGGTTTTGAGAAATTAGGTGATTTCAACGCTGTGCAAACATTCTAGAGCATATATGATGATTAGGATGGGGTTTCCGCTTGGCTAGGTTTGGAGTTGCCTTGGAGACTAGTGGAGCACACACTTATAGGTGTGTTTGCGTGCGTCATGGAGGGCTGGCCTTGTGGTGTCCATCTGGTCCCCACCCCTTCCTCCCTGTCCCTCTTCTTGTCTGCTGCCTGGACGTCATGAACTAAGAAGCTTTGCTCCACTGCAACCTTTTGGATGTTTGTGCCTTGGAGCCAGCTGACTGAGGACTGGAACAGTAAGACAAACAACTATACATCTCCTCCTAGAAGTCGTGGGAAAGCTGACTGATTCGCTGATTGACACTACTTACCCAAACTCAGATGGTACAACTTGCCACAGAACAAGCATGTGTGATAACTATCTGGTATAGCCTGCTCCTCCCAAGGCCATGAAATCTCTGTGACCTCACAAACAACACAAGACTAAATGAGGTACAAGAAAAATGATGTCATCAAGAGCCATGGTCAATATAAGATATGTGAGGCTGTTAGGGGCATAGTACAGCATGCTGTTTTATAGCAAATTTTTTACGAGTAGAAGTACTCTCCAACATAATGCCAAAAGAATAGAACAGTAAATGTGCAGGCCAGTGACATACTCATTTGTTATGAGCAAGTATTATGTACTGTTCATCACAGCAGGTCCTACATTTTTATGTGAATGGCCATGAGGTTTGTTTGTATCAGCATCTCTACAAACACAAGAATGTAGTCCACTGTGATGCTATGACAGCCATAGTGACACCATACAACAGGCATTTTCCCATTTCGTTATAGTCTTATGGGGGTCATGTATGTGGTCTTCTGGTAAGAATGTGTTGCTACTATGTGATTCTAAATGAGATTTCATATATGTGACACCTGAATCCACACTACATGTCCATGGGCACCTTTACATGTCTGGATATACAGAGATGCAGGTATGAGGTGTCATCAAAAGAAACAGTGAATGTTTAATTGTTTTTCTTTTTTCTATTTGGTGCAGGATCTCCCTACACAGCTCTGACTCATAGTGATCCTCCTGTTTTCAGCCTTCCCAGTGCTAGGATTACAGGCCCGCCACCACCATGTCTGGACTCACTGACTGACTCAGTGCACCCCGGGGGTGGGGCCGGCATAGTATGTGGGACGGGGGATCAAACCCTGGTCCCTGCACTTGCCAAAGCAGGTGCTGAATCTGCTGAGCTATCTCACTGGCCAAAATGTCCAAATCTTTAAATTTTTTAAAAAATATTACAGTAAAATACAGTGTAATTAATTCCCATCAAAATACTCCTCTCACTTTAGATATGCTTTTCCCATTGTTCTTAGCACTTTCTGAAGCAATTCTGGAAGTTCTCTTTCATGAGTATCTTTACAAAGTATGGATAAAAATATCAAGATCCATATGTCTTTTACTGTAATAAATTTTTAATTTAATAATTCCCCACATTTTCTAATCATGCCATGTATGTATGTATGCATTACTGTTTTACAAATACTAAACCTAAAATTTGGAGAAAATATTTTGTATTATTCTCTTTACTTCTTGTCTATGACACTTCATGTTTTGCCTGTATGAAATAGAAATCTTTGACTAAGACACCTCTATGGTCAATTTTAGTTAAAATACTTTTTGTGCTTACTCAAGTTTCTTAAAAATTTGTAACTCAATGCAGAAGTTCATAGATTCATCCTCAACTGGTGAGTATAGTTCTAGAGAGGCAAGAGTAAGGATAAAAGAAAATAAAACAACAAACCAGGGAAATGAAATTGTTAGCTTTTTTGGCACGGTAAAGAGACAGGAAAATAAAAGAGGCCTTTATTGCGGGCATGGGAAAGACCACAAGAAAGGAGAAATGTGGAGCTCCTGAGGGCCTGGCCAGGGTAACAAAGGCTATATAGGGCCAGGATGGAGGTAGGGTTTAGGGGGCAGCCTGTATGATGTGGTGGATAATGATTGGTCAGGGGTGGGAATAAGGAAACAGGATACTGCCAAAAGGAAGTAGGAAGTTGCAATTTGATCAGGGAGGAGGAAGGTGGAGCATAGCACACTGCCTCCAGTAGCCCATGCTGTATTGGTTCACTGCCATGATGACTTAGCAGAATTTTTTATTAAGGGGAAGAAAACCCATCAGAAATAAATATAAGAAAGTGCATCAAGGAGCTAGCCACATCTCCCTTATAAGATGGTAGTTTACATTTTGCTGGAGAGGACATCCAAAGCATGAAAGAAAGACTTTGTCTCCAACTCCCATCAAAGGTTGGCTCAAGTTTGCTCCTCTGAGGCATTAACACCCTCACATTTTTCAGTTGCATATTTCTTGTTTTCATATTCCTTAGTAGTTGTGCAAAATCAATAGGCACCCCACCAGCAGGTGGCACCATTAGAGTGGGGGCTAAGTGTGGTGCTGTCAGCCGTGCTTGGGGGCGCTGTGAAGCACCTGGATCCCTGATGACTACGGAAGCTAGGACCTCCTGGGCTGGATGGAACCACAGGTGCAGAGGTGTGTGGTGACAAGGAACCCAGTTTGACACACTGTGTCTCCAAATAATTAACTTTTCTTTTTAATTAATGTCTCTGATATTTCTGCTTAAGTGGCTTATATTGCAAAGACTGAACTTGGCGAAGGTACAGAGCGGCAATAAATTTGTATAGCTTTGCATTTTCTCTTCTGTTGCTCTAAGCATCAGTAACCATTTTCTCTTTCAAACTGTTAGAGAGGAGACATGGTAGCACATTCTTCCTAAGCAGCTAGGTGCTAAGATCTGGTGAAAGTGCTTTGTCTTGAATCTGGTGTTATTTCTGAGGATAAATAAAACTAAATTCACAGGTATCAGAACCAGAACTTTGCCCACCTGACTCTGTTAACTTAAAAACATAGCAACCAAATTCTTTGTCACAGTTCCAAGTGAGTTCAGAACAGCTGGGAATGACAGATGCATCCAGGAGTTCTGTGGGTTGAAATGAATGAAACCTCTACCCCTAACCTGGTCTACCCCACAAAGTGAAACCTCTGACATCCCCAGTTATTTATTAAAGGCTAATAACTGCCAAGAACTTTACATATGTAAATTCTAATCTTCACACCACCACTGGATATGGATGTAAATGTCCCTGCTGTATAAATGAGGAGATTCAGAAAGAGGCAAGTTGTCCACAGCCAGACGCCCTGAATGATCCTGACTTTGGCTGATCTCAGAAGCTAAGTGGGCTCAGGCCTAGTTAGTACTTAGATGGCCAAGTTACCTGCCAATGTCATATAGCTAATTTAGACTGGAGTCAAGGGTCCCCACTATATCTATCTGCCACTGCTATTTTTCACCATTTCCCCATAGTTGGTGGTATATAACTCAACTTAAGGTATAGGCAGCAGAGACTTGTGGAGTTGAAAATTTGGGTTACTTTCTCTAATAGAGCACATTACTCTGATTAGAGTAATGTGTACCAAGGAAGTGGGAACCCCAGAAGGCATGCAAAGAATTTGTCATTTCTGGAGTTGAGATAAAAGAAGCAAAGGAACTACTCTAAGAGCTCTGCTGCATCCGATGGGATACAGGGACTGTTCACTGGAAATCACCAGGGGAAGAACAACGTTGATCAGACTGCAGCATAGATGGGAAGTTTGAGCTTCCTTATGATTTCTGCCCTGAAGGCATTGTGTTACTTCTTACCATGGGAGACAGTGGCCTTGGTTGTGACACTCTGCTCAGGAACAGCAAAGATGAAGAAGGTGATTCCTGGCATGATCTCCATTCTCACAGCCTGGCAGTCATTTCCAGCTAGAAAAAGCTGACTGCTTTCTGCCATCAACACCACATGGGGTAGAACCACGCTCCAGTAGCAGTCTTGTAAGACCAAGATCATCTGCCTGAAGGTGTGCTTCAGAGCCGACACTCGTAAATGGACGGCTGTTTTCAGAAAGATCTCTGCCAGAGTTCCCGAAGCATGTTTATTCTGGTCTGCTCCTATCACCCATGTTGGAACTAAGAGATTTTATTTCATTAGCATTCATAACATTTCAAGAATTCACAAACTGAAAGAATTAAAATGAATATAGATATTTAATTATTTTACCCAGCCTCACAGAAATCTTGAGATATGCAAGACAGATAAGTGTCTCTCCCCTCTTTAATATACATGGTGATCAGAAACAGTGAAAATGCAGGTGAAATAACAGTAAAGAGTCTGTCTACACAGCCTCACAAGAAAGGAAGCTGAGGTGTTAGACAGGTAAGAATTTCTCTCATGCAGCAGAATAAATCAACAGGGTTAGGACTTTGGCACCAAGACCCAAGGCTTTAGTTAAGAGAAGGCACAGTGGCATCCAGTGGGCTCAGCTAGACCACCCTATGCTGACGCTGTGGTCTAGGAGGCTATTTAACCTCTCCCCGAGTCTTAGTTCCCTCGTCTGTTCAGTGATGATTCATTGTATGTCACTTCAAGATTATTGTAAGAATAAAAAGGCTGCTACACATATAACTTTTATTTAGCATAGCTGCTTGCCAGAGGAAGCTCACACTTCTTTCTTCTTGGAATACATTTTTATTGAATGCTTATCAATGCCTGACATTTTCCTAGGTAGCCGCGCTACATCATTGAGAGAATCTATGAGAAATCCTTACTCTGTACTTAAAATCTAGTAACAGACATTCAAATAAGCAATAAGTCTAACAAATGAATAAAACATAATGTCGGAGATAGTGAGGAAACTAAACTAGGAGAAAGGAGATTGGGCGTGCTGAAGGGACACAGCTCAATTTTAAACCATAAGGGAAACTTAGTCACCCTTTTTGTATAAAATAGGAATCCTGGGGCATCTGTTCCTCCTGTGGACAGTTTCCTTGGCACCATGACAAAGGTACCAGAATACAGGCCCCAATTTCTCACTTCCATCATCCTCAAGAG